TAAATTTAACTGCTTCAACTTTAGGTACAGTGGTGCTGCTTATACTTCACTACTTTACAGTCCTATCTATATAACAAAGTACATTTGTGTTTAGTAGTGTCAGTACTGATATTTGTTTAATGGGTGTTTTGCTTAATGCCAGAATGCTGATTACCTAAACCTTCAGGGGCTATGAAGAAATACAACTGTAAAAAAATACACTCAGCATAGAGTAACACAGGGCTTCTGCTCCAGGATATAAGTGAGACCTTCTGTACAACCGATTCAGAGATATGTTGAGAAAAACTATAAAGTGCCAAATCTGAAATCTCTAAGCAGTTAGTTTGGGAAAAGCTGTATTAACAAGATAACTACCAAGATGACCCAAATGACCAATATTACCACATGACTGGTGTTGTTTATTGCTTAGTTTACTTTTGTAATCCCACAATTTTCAAGCCACGACTGAGGGATCTGTTGTGCACACTTGCAAATGGCAGTACTACAACCCCTGATCTTTACCTGCACATTTTCAATATTGGCACTTTACGCTGCCCCCAGGTATGTAGAAAGCAGCAATCCTCAGATGTCCCAATACCTTCTTACTGGTTGACATCAATGCACGTAAGCAAAATCCTTTAAGGTTATTTTAGTGATCAGTGTGTTCCAAGAAAAGGATAAGGGTACTATCTAAGTACTCTAAGTAACTGCTGACACTAGAAGACATTTTGCAGCATAGATCTTCTCTGTAGTTATCACTTGTTCCCTGAACTTCCCTACTGCAATTTTTTTAGAACTGTGAAGGGTTTTATATCACAAATTCTCCAATACATCTTGTCCTAATATAAAAAAAAAATTAAATTTAAGAGCACTTTTTAAAAATTTAGTTTGAGCCATGAGTTCAAACTGGGTCTGAGTTGGAACTTTCTTGTGTGGAAAACAACACCTGCAAACCCCTAAAACTTTGCTACCTAAATCCCTGTGGAATAAAAACAGATATGAAATTTCAACACAATGCCTCACACATGTTTGCTTGTAATTTTTTTCCCCTACTGAGTATGAATCAATAAGCATGAGTTAGGCTATCACCACGCAAAGGCAATACTTTTGTGCTACATCTGCAGCTCCTGGGTCTAATGACAGTATCTGATACAGGCACATCTTAGTGAAAAACTGTCAGTTTTCTAAATCACCCTACTTTCCTGCAATTCCTGCTTTTTAATTACTATAATTCTCATCTGGGCATATAGGCTTGTTGAGACTGTGAACTCAGTTTTGGAGTGGGAAATTTCAAAATTCTTTTGATTGCAGTTTTAATTGGATTTATTAATTTCCACTGAGCTTTTTAATTATTTTCCGGTTTGTCAAATGTTCTGTACTACACATGCAGTTAAAAAACCCTGAAAACCACATTCCATGAAGTTAAAGTAACACAAACATTTCTCTTGCAGGAACTGGGTTAGGTCATGAAAAAGCTGGTAAATAGTCACAGCTTTTCATCTGCACTGATCTGGTTTGGATGTGAAAGGTTTTGTATCCTATTAACAATCTCCTGAGCTAACCAGCCCCTTAAATGTGATTACAAGGATCACACATCTAAAACCTTCCAAAGGGGTTATGGAGCTCTTTTGATCAACTAAAGAAAATATCTGGCAAAGCTCAGGGTTGCTCCAGAGAAACTTATGCATTCAATAAATAACTTATGCTCTTGGACATCCTTGGTAATTCATTATGGTAGTTGGTATTTATTATCAAAAGAATACTAAGCTAGCTGTAGACAAATTCTGTGGTGATTTTCCTAGAGGATATTTACTCAGGTGCTGCAGGAAGTATTGCTTCTCTGTAATAAACACCAAAAGGGGAGGAGTTCCTTATATTTGCCACAGGCTGTGCTCAGTTAAGCAGCTAGAGAGGTCAAAAAGCAGTTCCCCAGAGAGGTAAGTTCTTTGATTCTTATAGTGGTGGTCTCTCTTCTGATAGTTAAACATGCTTGTTTATTTTCCTGAGTTATTCTTTATATATCTGCTGATCTTTTTGTGCATCACTTATTATTTGCACATGTACCTAGTTAGACATCAGAACACCTCCTCATGGGTATAATACCATTAAAAGATCAATGATTGAAAAAAAACCAACACCCAGATGAAAAGAGGGAACATGCCTCTTAGGTCCCACAAGCCCTCCTGAGGTCTGCCCAGGATTTGGAGCCTAGAAGCCGAGGACCCCCTTTTGTAGGGGGTTCCATGGTAACCTGCATAGCTGAATTCTAAATTTGTTCAGATGTAGTATGGTCTTTCACAATATAGAAAATAGTTTATTAAGTAAATCATAGTCTTAATTTGATGCCTTAATCACAAGAGCATCTTCCCCCTTTTTGTCATTAGAACCTTCTATGAATATGAAAGCATGAATTTATCAGTTCTGAAGTAAAAGAGGTCCATTCTATTTATGTATGTTTCTGGTCCATTATATTTCAATGAAGAGTAAGACTTATTCTAAAAGCAATTGTCTAGCATGATCTAATATTGAAGATGCTTTGACAGGGTGTGTGTTCATACTGCTTTCATATTTTTCACACAGTAATTTAAAAATAGTTTTTGGACTTGCACCCACAACACTTAATGAAGTTAAAAACTGTTGAAAGGCAAGGAGAGAGCCTGAACTAATCTAATCACAGTCTGTTAAAAAGATAGCGTAGTATAGGTGCTGTCTCATGGCATTAAGGGCAACTTATCCTCATACCAGGTACAGCTGGAGATACACTTCATTTATCTTTCAATACATATATATGGATGTTGTCAATACGTAATATTTGTCATTAATTATTTCAAGTTTATTTGGGGGAGAGAAAGAGTATACTTGTACTTACTCTGCCATTTTAAAATCTCATCTGAAAGGCTCCCTAGACAAAAGCAAACCAATAATTTTGGGGGAAATAAGGGGCAAAAGCCAAGGCATGTTGAGATGGAGAAAGAACATGAAGGAGAGACAATGAAGGGAAAAGAGGAGTTTGGCTAGGCTGCATGACACCAAATGTGACTTAATCATTTCATGCCTAAGTTTTTCAGCACAATTGGTGTCTATTTGACATGAGAACTGTCATGCCCTAAGGACTGAAACTCCCTGTTTGTTTGAATAGTGCCTACCTTTATAGGCCTTGGAGGCTGGTTGTAACATTTAAACTAGGACCCTTTCTGCAGCAGCAGGTTGCCATTACTTACACATCATTCAGGATCATCTAACTGAAGTTTGAGTTTCACAGACCAGGTCACCTGAATAATTAGTTAATACAGAAGACAAGTGTGTACAACACTCCAAATAGACTCAGTTCGCTGAGTACTATCATGGGGTTTTGCCTTTGAGGCCCTTTCGATGAAACAGGGAGTGCTCATAGGGAATTTCACGTTTTCAGAGCTAAGGGACAGTGACTTTGGCAAACAGATGTGGACAAGGTGGGCAGCAGTGGTTTTAAGACAGCACTGCTAGAAGTGGAAGGGGACATATCAGTCACTGAAGTTATTGTCTTTTCTGGTTCCTATGACTGTGTCTAAGCATTTCTCAGCTCCTTGCTCAAAGTCTCAGATGCATGCCAGCTCTGCCTGGGAGGAGAGGTATGAGTGCTCACCATCCCCTTTTTGTACCTGGGTTTTCACTGAGAGGCTTTCAGCCTTTTTTTGATCAAACTGGTCAAACTTCTGCATGATCAGAGGATTAGACTGTCATGCTTCTGCATATGACTTGCCATCCACCAGACACGCAGCCAGAAGCACGTAGGCTTCTGGCAGGCACTCCGAAGCACAGCAAAAAGCAATAAGAATTTTGCTCAGGGAGGGGGAAGCTCGGGGAGTGTTGTTCAAGCCTAAAAGATATGGATATTTTTACAACTGAGGCCCTATTTTGCTTGTGCTTCCAATTCCAATTAGTAAAATGGGATTATAAAACTAGGAAGCTCATTTTGTATTTTTATAGGGTCTCCTCCAGGAGAGGAGGAACAGTTATGAAGAGACAGAGCAGCTAGCAACAAAGGGAGTTAATAAAGGCTATATGGGACCTTAAATTCTCCCTCATAAATTTCTATGTGCATAATGAAGTGCATAGCCTAAAAATCTTTTTATACAATAAAGTAGTAGTGCTTTGATGAAGGAAATTAAAGAGGCCTCTCATCTTTATATATACATATATATACAGCTCATGTCTGTATAGCTTTGGGGTTTAAGAAATTTCTATTGATGATTTTCCCACAGTGAGGAATTTTATAAGATTTCTTGTCCATGTGATTTCTCTGATATCTGGGATGGAAGAAGCAGCCTTTCCAGTTACAGGCACATTCACATCGAAAGGCCATCCATGAACTAACTACCTGGTGTCTACTCTGCTTTTGTGAAAGACATAGAATATAGATAGCTCTGAAACAGCTCCCCTAATGTCAGACCTGTCTGAAAATGAAAGCCAGATTTAAACACTATTACAAAAATGGAGGGAGACAAACTCAGTGCAACAGCAGAAGTCTCTGACAAAGGCACACAATCCCCAGTGCTGACTGAGTTTGGCTGCCTCTTTGCAGTGAATGTGCAAAGGATCTTCCAAAGAAAACCTAAGCAGCATAATTAAAGTCCTGTTGTACCACATAGGAGCGGTACTAATGAAATTCATCCAATTCCCAACTTTTGAGTACTTTCTCTTGCAACTTCACCTTGCTATTATTACACCTATGTTGCACTCCTGCAGTGTAGTCACCCCCCTGAAACGGATAATAACGTGAGCTCGGGGCGTGCACCAGATCTGAACAATATTTAGCGGTCCAGGTAGGTCCATTAGGCTTCCTCAGGGCAGAGCAGCCATGGGCAGCCCCAGGGCCACGAGCCGCAGCTCTCCCGTGCCAGGACCGCGGCCTCTCTGGGCTGCCCGGTGCCGTGTAATCCCCGTGGGGCGGATCAGGGTGCGAGGGCCGTGACCTGGCTCTGAAGGAGGCCGGCCCGGGATCCCCGGTGGCCGTGTCCCGGGATCCCCGCTGCCTGTGGCCCGGGGCGGCTCCGCAGCCGCCGCTGCCCCTCCGGGAGGTGAGCCCGGGCTGCCCCAGCGCCCCCGCCGCGCCCTGCCCGGGGCGGGCCGAGCCCACCCGGCTTTGCCGGCGCCTGCGGGCGATTAGCGGGGCAAAGCGCTCATCCGCCGCTGACCCCGAGGCAGGACCGCAGCCGGACCGGGGCCGTCCGCAGGAGGAGGAGGAGGAGGAGGGCGAACCCGAGGCACGGCCGCCGCCGGTGGCGCAGCCCCGGCCCCCTCGGCGGGGCTGGCTCTGCGGGGACCAGAGGTTTCGCTGCGGGTAATCCCCGGACGGGGAGCGGAGGGCAGGGCGGACGGGGTAGACCCGGGGCAGGCGGCCGAGCAGGGTCTCTCCACTGAACCACGCCTCGCCGAGAATTCGGGGCGGCCCGGCCCCCACGGGATGGTGGCCCGGCCCCCGAGGGTGGTGCGACCCCGGGCCTGGCCGGTGCCTCCCGACGTTGCTGCGGGGCTGGGAAGGGACGGGCCGGGTCGGGTCGGGTCGGGCCGGGCGGGCGGGCGGGGGCTCCTCGGAGGCGGGAGGTCCCGGCATTGGGTACGTGAGGATGCGAGTTGGCCCTTGCGCTCTTTCGTTCAGGTGAATCCTGCCTTTTTTTTTTTTTTTTTTTTTTTTTTTTTTTTTTTTTTTTTTTTTTTTTTTTTTTTTTTTTTTTTTTTTTTTTTTTTTTTTTTTTTTTTTTTTTTTTTTTTTTTTTTTTTTTTTTTTTTTTTTTTTTTTTTTTTTCTTGTGAGTTTCTGGGTAAGGAACGCGTGCGGAGCAGTCGGGAGCGATGCCTGGAGCGGTGCCCGCGGTGGGACCAGCCGGGCGCTCTCGTAGCAGAGCAACGCCCGCCCTGCCCGCCCGAGGGACACGCGGGACTGTGGCGTGGCCTCGGCAGGACACGCGTGAACTCTTACCGTGCCCAGTGTACACCCACACCCCCTAACTTCTTGCCTGCTAATGCTAAGTGCTAGCAAGTTTGCTTATTGTGTGTAGTGCTCTCCTTATCTTGCTGTCAAATGACTATAGCACCTTAATATCAAGACCTGCCAAAACTCATTGATACAGCTGCTAAATTAATTTTGAGTTGCCACTTAGCTGCTGTTAGAAGTTCTGAGAAATAAGGAGCGAGGTCGCACATATTGATTTTTATGGCCTTATAACGTTTTACTGTGTTAAAATAGGAAAATTGAGTGATGCTTTAGCTTTGAAAGCTATGTTATTTGCTAATATATTGATCTAGTGTTTAGTCATTGAAAAATTATTCTCATCACTTGCATTACCTCTCATCTGGGAGCCACAAAATGAGCTGGATATTATTCAGTTCATGGATTGCTAATGTCAGTTCATTACTTCTGGTGGCACAGAGTCCAAATACAATTTTATAATGAACCATTCTCCCTTCTGTTATTAATCTTGTTTTCATGATTGTAATGCCCCTGCATAAATACTATCTGTTGGATGACTATTGCAAAAAAATCTTTAGCTCTCATTTGTTTTCAAAATATCAGAGCTTTTAGAATTGACTACAGTAATTAAATATAGCATTTTGTTTCTATGTTCTTTTCATACCCTCTTCCTTTAACTAAAAGTTATCTTAGGAAAAGCTGGGGTGCTGTACTTGTGTCACGTTTAAACGCTGAAGGATTGTCATCCAGTGGGTAGCTCCTATGAACGAGATTAGATTGAGTGCTTACAGCCCTTGCTGATCCTTTAACCTGGTGCTTAAAAAACCCTCCTCCAATGGAGTTCCCTGAGAACTGTAAACCTCAGCATGCAGTGGGACTTTGACTGTTGTGGTGCATGACAGGGAATGGAAGAAAACCAAGGTGGAGCCTAACACTGAAGTAGATCTCTTGCATCCACGCCCCCTAAAAATGTTCAGAGAGCGAAGAGCTGAAGTGTCCCGTGAGCGGGGCTGGCCATTTCAGTCTGCAACAAGTCAAAATGTCATGATCAGCTGAATAATAATCAGCAGATGAAATGTCAGTGTGGACACCCAATATGCATTTATCAGTAGAAGGAGATCAGGTACCAATACCGCACAGTACTGTTTCTCTACTGCATGTAGAAGTTTTACAAAGGTCAAGGAGTCCAGAGGCATCAAGTGTCTCTGAAAGCTGTCTTCTTGCCTTGTTGGGAAAGTTCTTCCTGAATGTCAGCAAAGAGAAAAAGTGTCTGCAGAAGAAGCAGTTACCAAGCCTTTCAGAGAGTAAACACTAAAAAGTGGCCTCTTAATTGGATCAGTTTCTTGCTTGAACAGCATTAGGATTGACGTATGTAGTTTAAATTGTGCCCAGGAAATATATCGTCTGATACTAGCTTAAATTTATCACCACTCCTTGCCACCAAATGCTTTAAGTAACCATTTATTTCTGCATTTACATTAATTTAGGGTTTGGTTATTGTATTCAAAGCTTACTTGGCAATGTCATTGCATGGTGCTTGCCTTTTTTGCATTGTCAGATAACATCCAAGTTGCCTGACAGCTTCCAGGTCGTAAGATGTGGCAGGCTTGCAGTTTTCCCAACTGTAGCATAGGGCTGATACTCATTTTGTCAGTTGTCAAGCTATAACGCTTTATTTCCAGCATTTAAGTAGCATAGTATTCATCTCATCTAACATGTCTGCAACTGAAGATGTGTAACTGGGTTCCTTTTGTAGTCAATGGAAACTTAGGCAGTAGAACCAACAGAGTCTAAAGACCAAGCTATTTTATCCTAGGATAGATACTAAGCAGGTCAGGTGAATCATTTTGATTGCTTTGCCTGACTAAAATGGAATCATAGCATCTAGGTTCCAATAGATGTATTCTACAGCTTTTGGTGAAGCCCACCAAAGTTGATGTGACTTGTGTCTTTCTTACTCATGTAAGCACACAACAGTGAGAGAAATGGACTGACTGTTAAAAAAGCTTGTTGATTTTTACTGTTCATACTGTTAATCTACCATAGCTGGGGCTAAAGGGATTTTTTTTCCCCTCTCTGGAAGGTTTCTTGCAGATGGGAAGGACAGTTGTTTAGTTCTGGGAAAACACTGGGGAACATATAGGATGGAAAGTAGTAAGCCAACTGATGTGCAATCAAAAAGGATAATTCAGATAGACACATGCACAGGACAAAAATTATGTAATTATGCAAATTTTGTTGTTGTTTTAGAGTGAAATTATAATGTTAAGTGCATTGAGCTATTGACAAATTAAGTAAATAGCCCACCCTGTTGTGTTCTAAACACTTGTCTTTTAACTGATTGCCAAACTAGATAACCTGCTCACATTGAGCTTAGATTTGAGTATAGTTCCCATTCAGATATAGGTTGTATTGTCATTGAAATCAGAGGACAGATATTCCCCCAGAATTAAATGGGAGTGGTATTGGAATTTCCAGAGCAAAACTTACTCTTTGAATGATGGATAAGATAATATACTGCATAAATTACTCATTACAGCTACATCTATACAAGCTGAGAATCTGAGCTGCAATCCACGTTCTAAGTTGAATGGTCAAATTATTTGGACATTTAACTACAAATTTCTAAGTGCTAGTATGATGAAGGGCATATTGTAGCCTCATGCTCTTGGCTTGTTTTGAGAATTCTGTACCTTTAACTTTCTTATTAAGTACTTGTTAGTGTGGCACAAACTCATGAAATAAGAAATGTGTTTTGGGATTTTATTGTGCCATTGCATTAAGCATTTCAGGGCCTCACTGTGATTTGTGATCAGTAGCAGACCAATGAACTTCTAAATTAGATATTAGATAAAGGTGATAAAGGTGGTGAAAAAGTGAAGGGGGAGGTTATTTGATATAACAAGTCTCAGCAGTCTTTTTTTTCTGTTTGTTTGGGTTTTGTGAGGTTTTTTTGTTCATGGGTTTTTGTGTTAGGGTGATTATTTTTTCTGGCATCTGTTAGGCAAGAAGCCTAAATTTCACAATCTGAAGGAGTGCAAGTGTCACCTAGAGAGAGATAGCACACCTGACAGGCATTGTGAGCTAGTGTTCCTGGCTTCTGACATCTACCAGTCGTGACACGCGTGAAGATATCTGGCAAATTACATGGTAGGATATGTGCAGGAGCTATCTGTTTAGACACAACTGATGTTTGCAATCTGAAGGAGAGAGTGATGTGGACAAATAAAACAAAAGACATTCTCAATAGATCTACTTTGAACTGGTTCCAGTTTTCAACACTTCAAGAAGATTGTGGTAGCCAGGAGACAAGACGCTGATGGGAACCGAAACGCTGGATTCATTGTAGTTATATATGAATAGGTGTCTGCTTTGCTAATCACGTAGGCTCCCTTTGTGGAGAAAGATGAACAATATGAGGCAAGGTGCCTCTCTTGTTTCATTAGCTCCTTATGGAGGAAATGGTTGTATTTTCATTCAAGTGAGATGAAGGTCCATTCAGAAACTATTGGGAGGAAAGGTTTAGAGAGAAGTTGCACACTTAGGGGGTATGAAACAGTAGTAAAAATACTGGATTAACATGTAATATTCTATGTGAAATTCAGGTTCCATTGTGCTTTCAGTGCAAACTTACAAACTTATTCCCACTTGACAGTGTTGTCTATAATACTCTGTGGCCTTGACTGTAGAGCCTCCACAGGACAATTGGTTTGTGTCTGAAGCTTGAGGTGTGATAAATGTACTTAACTGAATTGCCTTTGTAGCAATCAGATAGTCCACAGGAGATATACTGTGCTCTTATGAGCTTTCCCCTTCCCTTTCCAAACTCACTAGGTATTGAAAATGATGGAGAATACAGTGGTCTGCCAGCATGGGTGCTGAGCAGGGTATCTCTGGGTATTTCTAATATGTGCCTTGAGGTCTGCTGCATAGGATGTGTTTGTTTGATGTGAAGCAAAAAATTATATAGGACTGGCTCATAGGAATTCTCACCCAATTTGTTCTTATAACTGATACTAGATCCCCCTCTCAGAGAACAAAAACCAAACAAACAAAAAATACCAATCAACCAACCAAAAGAAAACCTGAAGCAAAACAAGAAAAACCCCAACCACGTCGGCTTATTGTCTTGGAACTCCAGATCTATTTTTTCCCTGCCCCAAATACCCTGAATTTGATCACTGTGTCACAATCTGTTTAGCTCTCTCAAATTTACAGGACAGTGGTTTAAACTTTATTTCATGAGCTTATTAGGAACTGTAACAAACACAACAAACACGGGCTCACCCCTTTTGAGCAGGTCAGTCTATCACGTGAATTCATTTATTTACCATTCAAGCCATAAGTCATCATAACTTTTAACTCGTGAACTTACAAGCAAATACAAAATAACAAAACCTAGCTGGGGGTAAGAGACTGCTTATCCCTGCTCCTCAGTCGTGGTGCTGGTGTCCCCTGTGTCACACCAAGGAGCAGGAGAGCCTCAGCAGATCCAGTAGCAGCTCTTGGGGTAAACTAATGTTTTACACCTTCCAGCTTGGAGGCGTTTTATTTATACCTCCGGCTTGGAGGGCCTATACATTTTCATAAGTTAGATTCTGAGGAAACTGCAGTAGGAAAGCTAATAGGAGACAGATTTGCCAGTAATGATGGTGCATAATTGCTCTTGAGCATTTTTAGGCCACCTGTCAGCCTACTTGGTGGTGCTCTTGCTTTGAACTACTGACACTGCTCCCAGCATCCATCAGGTCTTACCAGGAGCCAGGTTAGTCAAAATCTGAGCAGAAGTGGAGTAAACTGTCATGCTGAGCACAACAGAAGTATTTCAAAGTGTTTTTTTCTAGTGGTTCAAGGGTACATTCTGAGCTTAGAGGTTTGGATCAAGTTGTAAGTTGTGGTGTTTTTTAAGTAAATTTTTAATAGTGAGGGGTATGATAAAATATCTAGGTGGTTGGTGATCCAGACATATTCCAGAGACAGTCCAATTTATTGCTGAAATATGAGGCTAAATCATTATCAGCTTTCTCAACTTCAGTGAGACGTAATAAAACATTATTCATCACCCAGAACAGAACACTTGAAATCATTCTATTTAATATATTTTTAATAATAGAAGTGGAAGCTAAACAATTTATCTGCAGAGGCTTGTTCTTAAACTTGGTGAAAGTGAGGAAACACAATGTTCAGGATAATTTATTCAAGTTATGATTTTGAAGCTATTAAATCAAAAGAATTATTCACATTAATTCTTTCTGGAATAGCACTTTTAAATTGTTGAACTAAGTATGACAGCTATTGAATGCATGTTTTGTGAGGTATGTGGTGACTTTTCTTGAGACAAGATGATGTGCAACTAGTATGATTTTCAGAGGAAAATGCAAGCATATGGCAGTCTCTTTAGCACTTTTTTCTGATACCCAAATAGCACCTGCAGGATCATATTTCTTCAGCCCTTTATCAGTTCTCATTGTACCAGTCTCTGCAGACAAATAAGCAATTGATACTGCAAGTCAATGGATTTCAGCTGCATACTGTCCTTATATAGCGAGTTAATGAAGCCTGGGAAGCTGTCTGAAACTGTAGGTTTGGTACCTGTTTTTTGTTAGAATGCTCTGCTTGATTTAAAGCATCTGTGCAGAGAGGTGGACCTTTGTTTAGGGGTGTATTTGGAGATTCAAAGTATCAGAGTTTCCTGCTTGGCTCTGGCACATGCTAAATACATGAAACTGTCCTCTGAGTTCCTGCATCCTAAGTGCTCATCTTTGAAGGGGAGGAGATAAATCTTCCTTTCTTCAACTCTGCATAGCTTCTACTGTACACTGGGTCAGAAGCTCCTGTGTTTTCTTGTAATGAGAGATATAACAGGCCCTAGGTTTTGATTGAAAATTACATATTCTATAGAAAACAGCCTGTATGCTGACAGGTTTCAATATGATTTGGATGCCTCCGTTCTTATGAAGGCACCTATTGATAGCTTTATACTTTTTTTCTCTTGAAAGAATCACTAGTTACAGATTTCATATACAGTAACAAATAGCCTCAATTCTAAAAGAAATTTTGAAATTCCATCATTATTGAATTCCTTGAAGAAAGGTTTTGGGATTATGAATCCTAATCACTTTATCATCCCTAATTTGGTTATTATTTTGTGTATTCCCAAATATAAGCTAATTAGAAAGCATTTATATATGAAGTGATTAAAAATCCAAAAATCCTAGAGTGACATTATATTTTCCTTGAAGTCCATGGGAAAACTTCCACTGGCTTCACTCAAGCCTGAAACTGGTTCAGATTTTCACTTGAATTTCCCTTCGTTTAATACTATCTTGACTGCACATACCTGTATTAAGTTCTTGCTCATTTTGCTTTCTGCGCATGCACACTACATGCAAAAACATTTCTAGTGTTTGAGACTGCATTTCTAGTGTTTGAGACTGTGTTTCTCCTCACATTCATAGGAAACCAAGTGCTATTAACCATTTGTTGAGTGAACATTGAGATCTCTTTTTCCTAGGAGCCATCATTTGAGATGCTTCCGTTGACTGGGAAGACAATAATATTTGATAGCTTTCCTGATCCTTCAGATACCTGGGAAATAATTGAGACTATTGGCAAAGGAACATATGGAAAAGTTTTCAAGGTGTTAAATAAGAAAAATGGCAGCAAAGCAGCAGTCAAAATTTTGGATCCTGTTCACGTAAGCTACTTAAATTATTTGGTTTGTGCTTATTTATTTGTGAGTTTATGTAGTCTTTTTTTCTCTTTATCTTTGTATATCATTTGGATTAGAAGTGACAGTGAAATAAACTGCTTCAACCCGCCAAGTATCAGGCTAGCTATCAATGCGTTTTTTTATCATAAATGATCTTTGAAGTGGTTGCATTGGTAGAAGTCAGAAGTATACCTAAACTGTGTTACTTTTACTTTGGGTTATCCTTGTTTATCTCTTATTTTCAGAAGCAGAACCGATTATTTTCCTTTTCAGTGCTTCGAGTCCTAGCTTATTCTGTTGTTACTGTTGTTCTTTTGCCTTTATTTTCTTTTGACATAGTAGCCAGTAAGAAAGATACATGCTTCTAGGTGCTTAAGATGTACCTTCAAGCATCTAAGTACATGGCTGTTGCTGGGTTACATGCTATGAGTGATGGTTCAAAAATAAAATAGCATACTTTATTGTTATTGTTCATTCTGGGTTTTCAGACTGTGCCAAAATATGTAGATATCACAGAGGGATCCGTCTTTTAAAGTGGAAAATGCAAAGGTAGTAGCTCCTCCACACAAAGCACCAGGTGACTGAGAGGTGGAATTATTATATTGTAGAATATGATTTTTTTTCTCAATAACTGACATTTGTTGGGTGGCAGATTAATGTTCAAAGACTACGGAAGACATTAGTCTGGTTTTTAAAGGCATACATACCCCACTGACTTCAATGGTGCTGCATGTGGCTTGGGATTTTTCTCTAGAACAATAACCCACAAAACATGCACAAGCAGCTGTTCCTATTTCAGTGACCCATTTGAGTCCATCTTTTGCACTCCCAGTATAGGGTTGTGAGGCTTGTGCTTCCATTGCATGACCTCTGGGCAGGAAGGGAAGAGCGTGTCATGCCACGTGGAACCTTGCAGTTCTGGAGTTGCACAGCCACACAGGCCTCTGTCTACCTGTGCATAACACACAGAGTATCAAATTATGATCCCATGGCCCGAAAGCCCATGAAATAGTGTGTTGCATTACCTTTGCTGTGTTTTTTGTTGATCTGCTCTTTATTTCAGCATGCTTTCAAAGCAGCAAAAGGATGCTCATCTCAATTCAATACACATACCTCTCCCAGAGTAAACATAATTGGCAGCCAAGCGATAAGGATCTTGATGACTTCAAATGCACTGGAAACTATTTCTGACTCTGTTGCTCTCTGTAAACAAGGTTCTTGTGCTTACAATGATTAGGCAGGACTTCCTTGCCACTGGTGTTTGTCTAAATGCCTGTTTAGCAGGAAATGCTTCTGCTTTCATGTGTTTCACAAGTGTTCAGGAATGATTCTTAAGTGGCAGTTGGCAATGGCAGGAATTTCTGAAGGAATCAGGAAAAATTTCAATGTTGTGTACACTTTTGAGGTTGTAGGAAAAGTTTAAGGGATGATGGGAAGAAAGCAGAGGTAGATGCTAGAGGAAAGAGAAATAGATTAAGAAGGAAAAAAAGGGAATAGAATCTAAAGAAGATGGAAGAAATGGAATGGATCAAGATGCAATAAGGAAATGAAGAAGGACAAAGGTATAACTTATGAAAACAGATTCCTTATTTGAAAATGAAAAACTGAAGTAATGAAGTCAAAGCCACACTCCAAGACTTGACACTTTTAACTGAACGTATTACTGTTTCTATTCTAAGAACAATACTGTTTTCTCCCTTCTACGTACAGGATGTCTGGAGTAGCTGCTGTACCTCCATTTTATGCCAAAATGGCAATCCTGTGTTAGAAATACGGTGAAAGCAATAAACAATTTCTTTTTGTTTAAACTGAAAGTATTATTAATGGCTGCAGAGGGAGCCATTGCAATGAAGAAAAAGATACTTTATGTATTTTCTTCTTTACATTTTACAATTTTTTTTCTTTGAAGATGGTTTCAGAACTGTGCCACTTGAGAGGTGGACTGGAAACAAAGCAGAGGAAATGTGGTTTTATAGGACTTGGTTTAACTGGTATTTCCAAATTAAACAGGGAACCTACATTATCATGGGGGACATAAGGCTGAAATTAGCATTTCATATTTAATCCTTTAGAGCTCAGATTCTTTCTGTTGAATAACAGCTCAGCTTTTGAAACTGAGGAAAGTGAAGGTATTTAAATGAGAATATATGAAGATGGAACTGAGAAACTCTCAGTCTTGTCCTCAGGACTATAAGTAAATACTATTGTACTTTAGAACTCTTAGCCAGATAATCCCATATATAGGATGAAATATTCACTCAACCATTTCTGATAGAGATACTTTTATGCAGGTAAATATATTAAATTCAACCAAATATTTCAAATTTTCTTCCTTCAGAAAATACAGAGGAAGATTTTTATTTTTAGTAGGCACAGAATGAATATTCATGTAGGTTCTCCTTATAATTGTATAAGTCTCATAAATTCTGAGTACCCCTCAGGAGACAGAAACCTCTATTAAATCACAGTAGGACAGTGGGCTAATTTTCTTCCTATTTCCCCAAGGCAGTCAGAACAATTATATGTTTTGTGTTTAATTTCTTTGCTTTTGACTGTATTTTTTTCTTTTTTTTCTTTCTTTTATTTTTGCTAGATGAGTTTTCTCTCTTCATCTCTGCTTCCACTCTTTGTCCTCTGCCATCTTCAGTACTTGGTTCTTCCTTCCTTGTATTTTTTTTTCTGTGTTGTGCTTATGGAAAAAATTAACTTAAAGTGAGTACCTCCTTTTTTTGAAAGATGAAAATTTCTGCTGTTTTTTGGTTAATTGTTAAAACACTTCCTCGTGAGAAGACTTATTCTTGTAGTCTCAATATGAAACTTAATGGCCTGTTTCCTGAAGATACTGCAGACTGACAGATTTCTTGGAGACCAGTCAAGCTGGTCTCAAGACAAAGGGCTTGTATGAGGAACTTGAACTGGATATTGGAGAGATGTGTATAAGAAGCAAGTGAGCAAAGTCCTCTTGAGGCAGATGGGTTGAACAGAATGAGAAGGAGCATCATTCATTGGAAGAACAAAGAGTCCCCTTTCTCTGCCATGGTCACTTCTGTTTGGCTATGGGGAGACAGGTTTTTGGCACTGAATAGATGCTTTTCATTGATTCAAAATCCACTTGTATGGATAGTGGAATTCACAAGGTGGCCCCCTTCTAGAATGGATTTTTCATTTCTTTTTATGTAGTTGTAAATAGCAAATTGTATTAAAAATATTTCAAATCTGGAAACAAGTATGTTAACATTTTTTGAAATCTAACCAATAGGGAAAATGACTGCAGCTATTCTGCCTTACCTGTGGTCAGGAGGGATTGACTATTTTCTCAGCAAGACTGAAATATCATCTAATCGTGCCCCTCAATGAGCAATTCCAGCACATAGGTTAGAAGGGTTTACCTGAGTCATCCAACGCCTGCCATTGCTGGCATCCATGTTTGGTCTGAAGGGGTTTGCTCAGCTCTCAGTGCATGTGCTGGCAAAACTTGTCCTCACCTCGCACCTCCAAATGGATTTCCCTCACTAAGAAACCTGAGGTCTGTAAGGAAAGACTAACAAAAGCCACAACTCTTATAGTTCTGTATGAAAACCCAGAGAAATAATGGATGTCACCAGCTTCTATGACCGTAGAAAATGAAAAAACCTCTGGAAAGTGGGATGGTAAATGAGTAAGATGTGGCTGCAATCATACTTGTTTGTGCACAGAGAGGTAATTCCAACCGCACCATCTCTAGCTGGGGATACCCTTAAGACTAATGCAGTAACATGTAACTTCCCAAGGCATGTGCATATCTGCCTAGTTATGGATTCCACTGTCTTAGCCTTGAAATCACAGAATGGGTAAGGTTGGAAGGGACCAACTGTGGGTCATCTGATCCAACCTCCCTGCCCAGGTAAGGTCATCTTAGAGCATATTGCACAGGAATTGTGTCCAGACGGTTCTTGAACATCTTCAGTGAGGGAGACTCCACAACATCTCTGGGTAAACTGTTCCAGTTTTTGGTCACTCACACAGTAGAGAAGTTCTTCCTCATGTTCAGGTGGAACTTCCTGTGCATCAGTTTCTGGCCATTACCTCTCATCCTATTGCTTGGCACCACCAAGAAGAACCTGATTCCATCCTCTTGACACCCTCCCTTCAGATGTTTATAGACAGTGATGAGGTCCCTTCTCACTCATTTCTTCTAGAGGCTGAACAGTCCAGTTCCCTCAGCCTTTCCTTGTAAGAGAGATGCTCCAGTCTCTTAGTCATCTTTGTCACCCTGCACTGGACATGCTCCAGGAGCTCCATGTCTCTCGTACTGAGGAGCCCAGAACTGAACACAGCACTCGAGATGTGGCCTCACCATGGCTCAGTAGAGGGACAGGATCACTTGACCTGCCAGCAGTGCTTTTCCTAATGCACCCCAGGATGTCATTGGCCTTCTTGGTCACAAGGGCACACTGCTGGCTCCTGGACAGCTTGTTGTCCACATGACCCTCGCTCCTTCCCCATTCTCCTGAGGGCTGCTCTGTCATACCCTGTGTGTTCATTAGTGGAAATTGATAAAGACAAAATTTTAAAAATATTACTGGTTTGTATTGAGGAAACAGAACCAAGCTTTGTAGCCCTCTAAATGGTACGTTGATGTTCTATTTGTGTTTTCCTTTGTATCGTTTCAAACTACATTTTAATTGCCAGAAAATGCTATGCATTGGGTTTTTTAAAATGGCTATCATTATTTATTTATTAATTGCTATGTATTTCTCATTTGTGACACTAGGATATTGATGAAGAAATTGAAGCTGAGTACAACATTTTGAAAGCTCTCTCTGATCATCCCAATGTAGTCAAATTCTACGGCATGTACTATAAGAAAGATGTGAAAAATGGAGACCAGCTTTGGCTAGTTCTTGAGGTAAATAATACAGAAAAATGAGAGTCTTACTTGAGTTGGCGTTTCAATGTTGAGTATAAACCCAGTGAATGAGATGCAAGTAATTTTTTCAGTGTTTTTTTCTAGAGTGGTTATATGTAAAGTGGTAAGTGCTGTTGTTTAGTCTTTTCAGTGTCCTGATTTAAAGTTCTGCTCTGAGTTCAGGATTCTTATTTTGATATTATACGGATAGTGCTGTGCCTTCAGAATTAAGATACAAAATCTAATGGGACTCATAGGATTTGCTACCTAAAATCTTTCTTTGGTGAAAGGCTTGCCATGGGAATCTTCATCTGGTAGCATTTCTTTAAGAATGACTAACATATAACAGTTAAAGAGCACAGTATGGAGATTTTTTTCCTAAATGAAAGCATAGAAGTTATTAACCTGAATTCCTTTTTTGTGGTGCAAGTAAATGCACAAATTGATAAATAAGCCAATAAAAGCAGGCTCCTGCCCAAATGTTGTTGAAAACAGCAGGATTTCTTCAAATGAAGTCAGAGCAAGGTAAGGCCTGTAATTTGTGTGTTTCAGTCTTCAGTTTTGACTAATCTATGAGCAAAGAGCTTGATCATTGTGGTTTTCATAGATTCACAGCCTGATGTGCAAAAACTTCCTCTTGTACCCAGAGGAAAATAGAGAAGAATATCTCTGACAGGAATAGGGAGCTTTTCACAATAATCAAGGCTTTTGCTGTCATTTGATCAGTGTTTGATAAGGCTGAGATTGAAGAATTGGTTGTATTTTATGATTTGTTAGCTAATTAAATAAAAATCTCCTGCCAAATATCTCAATGATACAAATTATTAGGTTAGACTGACATAAAAAGACGTCAGCTCTCTGTGCAGTTACCATCTTGGAAAAAACACTTTCCTTTGTGTCAGCTGGGCATTTGAAACTCCCATCTCTGAAACTTCTGGCCTTGAAGGCAGGGATGCTGAACAGCCAGGATGCAACAGACTCTGAAGAAACAGTCGAATGTTTACATTTTAAATTCTTATTTCACATGGAATTGAGTTCTTAATGTGAAAAACACAAGCCTGTATATGAAGTATGTTTTATATCTGCTCTTTTCATGCCAAGCTGTACATATTAAAGTGATAGTATTAGACTGTGTGAGTAGTCTTGGATACTTTCTGTTGCTGCCCATGTAGATCCATGAATGCAGTGGATTTCGGCTGGTGTGTGTATTTGTAGATATGCATAAGTAGAAAAATAAATTTCAATATTGATTTTGGTGTAGCTTTCCTTTTAATAATTGTATATGTGAAAGAAAATTGTCATAAAACAGATATCTCTGTTCAAGTGGCACCTTCTTTTCAGCTTGTATTCAGCTTTACAGGGCTGTTGCAGTCTGCTTTTCACAGCATCTATTAAGGTATCCTGTAGTTTGTAAGAATGTATATCTTTTCATAATCACCCTTTTGTGTTCTGTGATGGGATCCATGGGCAGGAGGTTTTGGAGAAAGTGTCACAAATTCCACTAGGAATGGATTGTGATACATAGCAAAACTCAGCATTTAGTAATGGATTTAGAGCCACCACCACAGTTTACCAACAAAATTATTCTCTTGAGCATTTAAATCCATATATTTAAGTGTTATCAATTTTTTTTTCCTAGAGGAAAAAATCCTCACCTCATTAAGGTGTGTCCTATGCAATGTATCAGTGGCAAACCATCCTGGAAAGAAAGATTGTTGCCAGGTTTCTTTTCTCCTAATGCTGTCTTCAGCATTGGTTATATGAACTGTACCGTTCAGTTCTTACTTCTTTCTTAGTGTATGCAGTATGGTGATTTTTGATGTATCTCGTAGATTTTGGTAGCTCTTTCATAATCCACTTGGTCATATTTGGATTTTGGGGAAAAGAGGCTAATCAGGTTTGAACTAGGCTAAAGTAAGTGGCTGAGGTACATTTTGGAGGCCAAAAGGGACCAAGAAGCTAAAAAGACTACCCTATTATATTGATAAGGATTCTTAAGAGATTTTAGTCCCAAATATTGGAACTATGATAAAATTGTCATACCTCTTAAGTTAGCATCTGTTCTGAATACTGGAAAAGACGTATGATGAAATTACTGCAGTCTTGGTGTCAAATATTCTACCCCACATTCCATCTCTGTTCCCCAAAATGAATCTGTTCTTACGTGATTTGGTACCTGTTGAACCTGTGGTCTCAAATTCTAGGATGAGATAGTTGGAGGTTCCATTTTTAACTAAAATTGGCAGTTTCATTTGCTTCTTGTTCCAAGGCATATGTCAACAACGAGGCAGTGGATGTTCACAGTCCAGGTTGAAGGGATTGTCCTCTGACTAGAAATGATTAAAGCAGAAAGAAATAGTTACCTACAGCTAAATGGAATTTAGACCTGACCTATTGGTGTGGGTCATCTGACAGTTATTAGTATGTCAATAGAAGCCAGTTGCTTCAGAATGATGGAAATTATCTTCTGCGGAGTAATCTTGGATAAACATGACATTTCTGCTGAATCTCCTCACATAAATAATTGCCTAATAGCACATGCCTTCACAGAAAATATTTTTTCAAATTTTAAGTGAAATTCCTCACTTTCTACTGAACATTTGAATTTAATTTTGTTTGCTGTGTTTCTGTCTCTCTGGTTGTGTCTTCTAACTGATCTTGTTAAGCATTTTGAAGTTGCAATTCTGTGAGCTGGAAATATGCTTCTGAGAGAGTAGGAGCTGTTGTTTGGGGGTTTTTTTTCTTTTAAAAGAAATTATTTTTTGTATTATATATATTATAAAGTATCAAGACATAAGTAGCGAGTCTCATACTTTGATTTAGCATTTCAGTGTAGCTTTAATTGGTAAAAAAATGTGTAGAATGGTTACTTAGGAAAATAACCTTTTTGCATAACACACTTCATGTTACACTCTAGAACAGTATTTGTAGGAGGATTGTAAAGTTACCATGTTGTGCTCATCTTAAAACATGTGAGGACCTAAATCTGAGATTAGTATAGAATATGAATTTTCACTAACAATTAAAAACTAGAGGAAATAATAGTGTGAGACCTTTTAGCGTCATTACCATTTTTTTGGTAATAAAGGAACCAAACTTTCTCAATTCAGTATTTTTAAGGAAAATACCTTTGGGAATGAAAGTGAAACAAGAATACATCTGTACAGAATACTCTTGACTCTCAGTTCAGAAATGCCCTTATCTCTGTAGGCTGCGCTCAGATAGACTGAACATCTGTTCCTCTTTGGATGTTGTTCTAATCATGTTTCTAATAAAGAATACTGCTGGAGGGAGGATTCCTGCCAGGTGCTTTAAGCTTCATCACGTGCATCCAGAGATGCAGGCAGAAGAAACTGACCTATTGAGACTGTGTTTAAAAGAAATCCCATGAGTATTATGTGTAGGATGAATCAGCTTAGCAGTTTCGTGTCAGCAGATATCAGCATGATGACACAGCTAAGGCAGAGTGTGCTGTAGCCCATCTTTTTCTGCTCTGGATGTTAGTTCAGAAGGGAAAATGTCTGAGATAACTGGAAAGTAAATGATTGAAGATGGAGAAGAGAGGTAAATCATATCAGGCCCCAGAGGTGAGCATGTAGGTCCAGGGCAAGTGGGGAGAACAAGTGGCACAGCCCTTGCCTGAGATCTGTTGCAAAGAACAACCTAGTTAAGAAAGAGTGAAGGCTGAAAATACCCCAGTAAGGTAAGCAGTAGGTGTTACACCGCTTTTACTTGCTACTGTAAGCCAGAAGCCAGAATCATAATCCAACATATGTCCATAGTTTGTTTCCTACAGAGATCAGGTAGAACTTTAGGAAGCATCTTGGTCCATTTTCAAAAGACACATAGTTATGTGTGCCATATTTGAGACGAATTTGGGTTTCTGAGTCACATAAGTAAACAGTATATTTTATTGTTCTTGATATATTTTTATAGGTAATAGAGGAAACATGCATTATTTTTATAGCATTTTTTTAAAATTATTATTTAATGAGTTAAAACTTACCTTGGTAGGGGGAAAATTTTGTAAGGAGTTTTTTCCACCCCAAAATACGTTTTTTTAATACCAAAGCATTTTGTAGCAAATTCTCTGTTTTGGAGAGGTAGAAGGAATTGCCAAGAAGTGTAACACAAATACATTCCTTTCACTGCTAAATGCCGACAAAATATTCTTTCTAGGTGTTTTTCTTCCTGTAGTGTGAACATTTCAGGAACATTTGCAATGCCCTGCTGAGTCAGACCAATGGTCCATGTAGCACAACGTTCTGTCTCTTGTGGTAGCACTAGAAGATGCTGTTCAGGAAGGGTCTGTTGCCCAGTTTTTGCAGTCCATTTCCCTCATGCTTTCCAGCAACCATGAATGCTATAATATGGATGTCCTAGACTATTCCATTTGATATCCATTTATGGACAGTCTAAACCTGATGATGATGCATGCTGTAAGAGGAGACTGTATAGCATGGCAGTAAGTTTAATTTTTGTATCACTATTATATATTAATTTTTGTTTATATAATATTCTACATGATAGAATATAATGTTTTCAACATTATGAAAACATTTCCAAATCTAATTATTTTTCAGTGTGAAGAAATTTATAATCCTGTTCATTTGAGAAGGAGGAATATGTTACAGTTTCCAGTGGACTGCAGGCTCTATTTTCTGACCAGCTCTGTTGTTAGAAAGTACCTTCACAAATGTTTCAGTAGCTAGTGCAATCTGTGCAGGTGCTGGTTATGCACAGTCCAGATTGAGTCAACCTGTTTCATCTTTGTTCTTATGTGGAACCTTTCCTTGATCTAGCGGAATCTTCATCAGAGAAATCCTGTGCAAGTGTAGAGTAGCTTGTATTTGGAACCTGCTTCTCTGAAAAAGTGCCATTTTAACCTTTCCTTTTCCCTCAACCTTTTAACATGGGAAAAATCATTAAATAAACTGATAACTTATAATTCTGCATTGTTGCAGACAAAGTGGTATACTTTGAGTTTCATTTTCTAGATG